ACTTCCATGACCAACAGAACACACTGGAAGTGTTTGGTGGGCATTGACCTTGAGTTTGGGAGTTGTAGTTCACCTACATCCAGAGAGCACTGTGGACTCAAACAATGATGGATCTGGACCAAACTTGACACAAGATTCCATATGCCCAAATATGAACACAGATGGAGTTTGGGGGAAATAGACCTTGACATTTGGGAGTTACTGGGATTTAGAGTTCATCTACAATCAAAGAGCATTTTGAACCCCACCAATGATGGAATTGGGCAAACTTCCCACACAGAACCCCATGGCCAACAGAAAGGGCTTAAGGCCACCCAGTCCAACTCCCTTCACCAGGGCAAGAAAACGTAATCAAAGCCCTCCCGACAAAGAGCCATCCAGCCATAGATATAGATAGATAGATAGATAGATAGATAGATAGATAGATAGATAGATATGATTCACACACACAGAGATATAGTATAGACAGAGGCGGCCCTAGGAATTTTTCAATGGTAAGGAAACAGTATTTTGGCACGCACACCCCCAACCAATCACTGATATATTTTTTCTGTTCGTCGTGGGAGTTCTGTGTGCCATATTTGGTTCAATTCCATCATTGGTGGAGTTCAGAATGCTCTTTGATTGTAGGTGAACTATACATCCCAGTAACTCCAACTCGCATATGTCAAGGTCTATTTTCCCCCAAGAGCACCTCAAGAGCGCCCCTGGGCAAAATCAACTGTACTGGAAATGCTTACTTTGTGTAATCCATGTCCAATGGAACTTGCCATGGGGTCACCTTGGAGGAAATTAAAAAAATTCCTACAGCAATGATAAAAATGATGATTTTACCTAAAAGGCTGTTTTTATTCCAAAATCTACCGTATTATCAATGGCTTTCATAGCCAGAATTACTGGGTTGCTGTGAGTTTTCCGGGTTGTATGTCCATGTTCCAGAAGCATTCTCTTCTGACATTTCGCCCGCATCTGTGGCAGGCATCCTGAGAGGTTGTAAGGTCTGTTGGAAACTAGGCAAGTGAGGTTTATATATCTGTGGAATAATGTCCAGGGTGGAAGAAAGAACTCTTGTCTGTTGGAGGCTAGTGCGAATGTTGCAATCAGCCACCTTGATTAGCACTGAATGGTCTTGCAGCTTCAAAGCCTGGCTACTTCCTGCCTGGAGGAATCCTTTATTGAGAGGTGTTAGCTGGCCCTGATTGTTTCTTGTCTGGACTTCCCCTGGTTTTTGAGTGTTGCTCTCAAAATCTGGCTACTAGTATTTAAAAAACTCTAAAATCAGAACAGTAAATAAAGAACAACACCCAAAAAACAGGGGAATTCCAGACAGGAAACAATCAAGGCCAGGTAACACCTCCCACCAAAGGATCCCCCAGGCAGGAAGCAGCCAGGATTTGATGCTGAAAGGATATTTGATGTTAAACAAGGTGGCCAACTGCAACATTCACACTTGCCTCCAACAGACAAGAGTTAGAATATATCCATTCTGTATACCATGAATTTACTTAAGACAAACTTATATTTTGTATATTTTCTGGGAATTTTCTAGGTTTTCTAGGTTTTCCTATTGCAATGAATGACTTCTGGTGGAAGCCAACCATAGAAGTGTTCTATGAAATGACTTCCCTTGGAAACTATAGATTCTGGGCGATATGTTTAGCGGATTTGGGCCTCTATGGGTTCCTTGCAAAGTCCAAAACGTCAATCCATATCAACCCAAGGCATCTCTTTCCTTTTAAGGACCTTTCTCCTCCCAAATTAAGCGCAAACAGCCAAAAACGAATGACCTCAGAGCACTGAAAGCGAGAGGGTTGTTGCTTTCCAAGGAAGGTTCCCTTTGGAGTCTGCCAACAGAATTAATATTTATACTCTTCTGGGGTGCATAGTTCTGCTTTAATTTAGTCTGCAGGACTGAAAGGAATTTAATAAGATGTGTGTGTGTGTATAGTTCCAAGGGCCGGGCCGAAATTCCTGACATATTTTTCCACAAGCCCTCTGGATGAGGATCAATGGGTCTGTAGCTAAAACAATACACAGAAATGGCCAGGAGAATTGAGAATATAAGAGCGACCAGGCACCTCAACGCCTTAACTTTGGAAACCCCAGGAAATTCATGAGGTCACCATATAAACTAGGAGGAGGAGTCCTCTATTCTCCATCCTGGACTGAAGTCCGAACCTCAAGGGGGATTGGGATTTATTAATTAACTAATGTACTGTATATTGTGCTGTCACGCGCTGGGCCTGTGAAAGAGTCTGTAGACAGGACGTGTTTTCTGAATGCCCAACGGGACGCCGCCAGGGGTGCCTTGGCTGAGAGGCCTTTCGGATTTCCCCACACAAAGTTCTTTTAAAGCAGGGGTCCTCAAACTACAGCCCGCGGGCCACTTCCAGCCCGCCAAGGGCACTTATCCAGCCCGCAGAGGAGGAGCACCACCCCCCACACACAGTGCCCCTCCCTTGGCTGGCTCACGCTATCCGTTAGGCCTGATGGGCAGCGTGAGCCAGCCAAGGGCAGCTGCTCCGCGTGGCCTACTCTCGCGTAAAGCACCTCGCGATGTGTAGGCCACGCGGTGCTGCTCCTCCCTTGGCAAGCTCACGCTGCCCATTGCTCTCCTCTTCTTTCCTGCATGAAGAAGGCCATTGCTTAAGGAACACTCGTATCCCATGGACAGAATCAATCTTGAAGATGCTTCCCAGATCAAGCCTCTTGCCAATATTTTGGATTCCCACGCGTTTCTGGCCAAAGAAAATGCAATGCGTTTGGGGCCTTGTGCATGTTTCCCTTATATTTCCTATAAGCCAAGGGGTGGATCCTGCCCCCTTAAATCTCCATCCCACAGATCTCTCCAGATGGGGCCTGAAGCCTTTCCAAATCCAAGGCTTGAAGCCTAACCTCTTAGACAAACCCCACTTCCCTTCCCAAAACCTCTTCAACCTGCTAATGAGCTTTCCTGCCTGATTCAATATCGTTTCCAGAGCCGTTGAGTTGAGACGACGGGTGAATTGCAAATGATGCAAAACTGTGCATTTGGCTGCATTTGATCCTGGCGAAACTCTCCTTTCCTCTCTTTTCCCCTTCTTTTCCAATCTGACTTATTTATCTCCACTCAGATTATCCAGGGATGTTATCATGATTTTTTCCAAGTTCCCCCTCGACTCCGATGGGTGAAGAGGTGGACGTTTCTTTGGCCGGGATCCGACATCGAATGAAAGGGAAATGCGGTTGGCTTGAAACAGGGCTCTGTTCCAATTTGGGGAAAGGGGCTTCTTTCTTGTTTTCACTCCTTTCCTCTTTGGTCCCCCTCCATATTTTTGTCCTAATGTTATCCTCCTGCAAATGGTGCAGAAGATGGAAGAGTCCTCAAAGAGAAAGGGAAGGAAGTGGGAAAGGAAGGAAAGAGGAGAAGGAAGGAAGGAAGGAAGGAAAAGGATGGATGGTTGGAAGGAAGGAAAAGGAAGGAAGGAAGGAAGGAAAAAGGGGAAGGAGGGTGAAGGAAGAAAGGAGGGGAAGGAAGGAAAGAGAAGGAAGAAGAAAGAAGGGAATGATAGTCAGGGAGGGAGGAAGAAGGAAAGGAAGGAAGGAGGAAGGAAGGAAGGAAGGAAGGAAGGAAGGAAGGAGGAAGGGAGGGAGGGAGGGAGGGAGGGAGGGAGGGAGAAAAAAAGAAGGAAGAAAGAGGAAAGGAGAGGAAGGAAGGAAAAAGAAGGAAGAAGGAAGAAAAAAGAAGGGAGGGAGGAAGGGAGGAAAAAGAAGGAAGAAAGGAAGGAAAGGCAAGAGGAGGAGGAAGGAAGGAAAAAGGGAAGAGGGAAAGGGGAAGGAAGGAAAAAGGGGAAGGAAGGGAAGAAAGGAGGGGAAGGAAGGAAAGGAAGAAGAAAGAAGGGAAGAAGGAGGAGGAAGGAAGGAAGGAAAAAGAAGGAAGGAAAGAAGGAAGGAAGGGAGGGAGGGAGGAGAGGGAGGGAGGGAGGAGGGAGGGAGGGATGGGAGGAAAAGAAGGAAGGAAAAGAAGGAAAGGGAGGAAGAAGGAAGGAAGGAAGGAAAAAGAAGGAGGAGGGAGGGAGGAGAAGGAAGGAAGGAGAGAAGGGAGGAGGAGGGAGAAAGGAAGGAAAAGGAAGGAAGGAAGGAAGGAAGGAAGGAAGGAAGGAAGGAAGGAAAAGGGGAAGAAAGAAAGGAGGGGAAGGAAGGAAAGAGAAGGAAGAAGAAGAAAGAAGACAGGAAGGAGGAAGGAAGGAAGGAAAGGAGGGAGGGAGGGAGGGGAAGGAAGGAAGGAAGGAAGAGAGGAAGGAAAGAAAGAAGGGAGGGAGGGAGGGAGGGAAGGAAAGAAGGGGAAGAAAGAAGGAAAAGGCAGTCAAACAGGCAGGCAGAAAGGAGGGAAAGAATAAGTAGGTAGGTTGGTAGGAAGGAAGGAAAAAGAAGGTGAAAAAAGGAAGGGAAGGAAGAGAGAAAATGAAGGTAGGAAAAAGGAAAGAAGGAATGGGAAAGAAGGAAGGAAAAGGAAAGATTGAAAGAAGAAAAAGGGAGGGAGGGAGAACTTCACTGAAGAAGGCAAAAATTAACGTCCCATCTACACTGCCATATAATCTACTTTCTAAATCCAGTTTACCTTCTTTGAACTGGATTATATGGCAGTATAGATCCAGTCTAAGAATGAACAAACTTTTTAGGCTGGAATATTGATCAGTGCATTTTAATAGTTTTGTTTTTAGTACCACCAGATGGTGGTATAACCCCAAATATGTGCCGTAGGTCAGACTGCATCTACACTGTAGAATTAATGCAATTTGACACCACTTTAACCACCATTACTCAATGTTAGGATACCTTAGAAGTCATAGTTTCAAGGAGACACTGGCATTAGCACCTTGTGAAACGACATCTGCCAGGATCCTGTCGCCTTGAGCCATGACAATGGAGATGGTATCAAAGTGCATTAAGTCTACAGTGGAGGCGCACCCTACGTCTCAGCTGGGAAGTTTCAGCTTTGACTCCCTTTGATCACTCACCTGATTGATGTGTTTCAGCTTATCGATGATCTGGCTGATCATGGGTTCGGGGCCTTTCGCCTTGGCCTCAGGGTTGCCTCCTTGGCCTCGAATGCCACTTTTTGTGCCCTGGCGGCTGTACCTATAACAAGACAGAGAAGCCAGGTAAGTTTTTTTTGAACTTTAAAACCCAACAAATCAGTACATATAAAAACATAATACAGATTAAAACATTAAACAATATAAAACACCACAAAAGCAATAAAAACAACATCATTAGCATCTCATTATTATCAAGCATTGTCCAGTTCCATTGTCAAATTGTTCGATTTCCTATATTAGCTACTCTGCATTTGTAAACGCTTGCTCGAACAGCCATGTTTTAACTTGCCTCCGAAACATTAAGAGGGAAGGAGCAGATCTAATCTCCCTAGGGATGGTTTTCCATAGCCGAGGTGCCACCACTGAGAAGGCCCTGTCTCTCGTCCTCGCCAAACGTATTTGAGGCGGGACTGAGAGCAGGGCCTCCCCAGACGATTACCTTTATGGATGCCTTTTAACACTATGAACAATATTTTAGAGCAGTGTTTCTCAACCGGGGGTCAGGACCCCTGAGAGGGGTCGCAAGGGGGTGTCAAAGGGGTCACCAAAGCCAATCAGAAAACACAGTATTTTCTGTTGGTCATGGCGGTTCTGTGTGGGAAATTTGGCCCAATTCTATCGTCGGTGGGGTTCAGAATGCTCTTTGATTGTAGGTGAACTATAAATCCCAGCAAATACAACTCCCAAATTTGCTGTTTTCCCCAAACTCCACCAGTGTTCACATTTGGCCATATTGAATATTCATGCCAAGTTTGGTCCAGATCCATCATTGTTTGAGTCCAAAGTGCTCTCTGGGTGTAGGTGAACTACAACTCCAAAACTCAAGGTCAATGCCCACCAAACCTGTCCAGTATTTTCTGTTTGTCATGGGAGTCCTGTGTGTGAAGTTTGGTTCAATTTCATTGTTGGTGGGGTTCTGAATGCTCTTTGATTGCAGGTAAACTATAAATCCCAGAAAATACAACTCCCAAATGTCATGGTCTGTTTTCCCCAAACTCCACCAGTGTTCACATTTGGGCATATTGAGTATTCATGCCAAGTTTGGTCCAAATCCATCACTGTTTGAATCAAAAGTGCTCTCTGGGTGTAGGTGAACTACAACTCCCAAACTTAAGGTCAGTGTTCACCAAATCCATCCAGTATTTTCTGTTCGTCATGGAAGTTCTGTGTGTTCAATTTCATTGTTGGTGGGGTTCAGAATACCTTTTGATTGTAGGTTAACTATAAATCCCAGCAACTACAACTCGCAAATGACAAAATCACTCCCCCAACCCCAGTATTCAAATTTGGGCGTATTGGGTATTTGTGCCAAATTTGGTCCAATGAATGAAAATACATCCTGTATTATCAGATATTTGCATTACGATTCAGTAGCAAAATTACAGCTATGAAGTAGCAACAAAAATAATGTTATGGTTGGGGGTCACCACAACATGAGGAACTGTATTAAGGAGTCCTGGCATTACGAAGGTTGAGAAACACTGGTTTAGAGGCTGAATCTGCAGTTTCGAAGCTGGAAAAGCTATTCCCTTGGCGCCACCTTGTGGAACAACCACAATGGTTCACCAATTTGCTGTCATTTGTCTTCCTTTGAAGCTGAGAGTGTGTGACTCACCCCCATGGGTTTCAATGGTCTCCAGAGTCCAACAGAAAACATATTATTTTGTGTTTGTCATGGGGGTTCTGTGTGGAAAGTTTGGTCCAATTCTGTCGTTTATGGTGTTCAGAATGCTCTTTAATTGTGGGTGAACTATAAATCTCAGCAACTACAACTCCCAAATGTCAAGGTCTATTTCTCCCAAACTACATCTGTGTTCATATTTGGGTGTATGGAATATTCGTGCCAAGTGTAGTCCAGATCCATCATTGTTTGAGTCCACAGTGCTCTCTGGATGTAGATGAACTACAACTCCCAAACTCAAGGTCAATGCCCACCAAACCCTTCTAGTGTTTTCTGTTGGTCATGCGAGTCCTGTGTGCCACGTTTGGTTCAATTCCATCATTGGTGGAGTTCAGAATGCTCTTTGATTATAGGTGAACTATAAATCCCAGCAACTACAACTCCCAAATGTCAAGGTCTATTTCTCCCAAACTCCATCTGTGTTCATATTTGGGCATATGGAATATTTTTACCAAGTGAGGTCCAGATCCATCATTGTTTGAGTCCACAGTGCTCTCTGGATGTAGGTGAACTAAAACTCCCAAACTCAAGGTCAATGCTCACCAAACCCTTCTATTTATTTATTTATTTATTTATTTATTTATTTATTTATTTAAGGCACTTATATGCCGCCCTTCTCACCCCGAAGGGGACTCAGAGTGGCTTACAATATATATTTTCATACAATATATTATATTATTAGCATAGTACAATATCAGTATATATTACTATATTGCACTCTATCATTATATTGTAATATTATTAGTACTATTACATGTGATGTAAATATATAATTATAATTATAATATTGAATTATAGTGTTTTCTGTTGGTCATGTGAGCCCTGTGTGCCATGTTTGGTTCAATTCCATCACTGGTGGAGTTCAGAATGCTCTTTGATTATAGGTGAACTATAAATCCCAGCAACCACAACTCCCAAATGACAAAATCAAATACACTGGGTTGTTAGGTGTCTTGTGTCCACTATAGATTGCCCTCTGCAGAAAGATGGAATAGTGTGAATGTTGGTACTCCTTTCAAGATGCAGCTGTGCAAAAGAAGTGGAATTACAATGGATTCCTGGCAACAAAGCATTACAAATTATTGGTGTTGTTGTTATGACTCACCTTTCGACCACTTCTTGCCCGTTCCAGCAAATGGTATTGTTCTGGATGGTGGAACTATGGCTGCAGATATACTCTGGAAGGCTGCTATAGAAACTGCTGTGGGCTCTCAGCTTTGTGATGAGTTCCCTGCAAAGAAGACCACAATCATAGAATCATAGAATCAAAGAGTTGGAAAAGACCTCATGGGCCATCCAGTCCAACCCCATTCTGCCAAGAAGCAGGAATATTGCATTCAAAGCACCCCTGACAGATGGCCATCCAGCCTCTGTTTAAAAGCTTCCAAAGAAGGAGCCTCCACCACACTCCGGGGCAGAGAGTTCCACTGCTGAACGGCTCTCACAGTCAGGAAGTTCTTCCTCATGTTCAGATGGAATCTCCTCTCTTGTAGTTTGAAGCCATTGTTCCATTGCGTCCTAGTCGCCAGGGAAGCAGAAAACAAGCTTGCTCCCTCCTCCCTGTGGCTTCCTCTCACATATTTATACATGGCTATCATATCTCCTCTCAGCCTTCTCTTCTTCAGGCTAAACATGCCCAGCTCCTTAAGCCGCTCCTCATAGGGCTTGTTCTCCAGACCCTTGATCATTTTAGTCGCCCTCCTCTGGACACATTCCAGCTTGTCAATATCTCTCTTGAATTGTGGTGCCCAGAATTGGACACAATATTCCAGGTGTGGTCTAACCAGAGCAGAATAGAGGGGTAGCATTACTTCCCTAGATCTAGACACTATGCTCCTATTGATGCAGGCCAAAATCCCATTGGCTTTTTTTGCCGCCACATCACATTGTTGGCTCATGTTTAACTTGTTGTCCACGAGGACTCCAAGATCTTTTTCACACGTACTGCTCTCGAGCCAGGCATTGTCCCCCATTCTGTATCTTTGCATTTTGTTTTTTCTGCCAAAGTGGAGTATCTTGCATTTGTCCCTGTTGAACTTCATTTTGTTAGTTTTGGCCCATCTCTCTAATCTGTCAAGATCGTTTTGAATCCTGCTCCTGTCCTCTGGAGTCTTGGCTCTCCCTCCCAATTTGGTGTCGTCTGCAAACTTGATGATCCTGCCTTCTAGCCCTTCATCTAAGTCATTAATAAAGTCATTAATACAGGATCTACAAAGGGAGCAGACAACACCAGGATGGAGAAATACAGTTTAGATTCCTGTATCCACTTAGTGTATATACTCGAGTATAAGTCTAGTTTTTCAGCCCCCTTTTTAGGCTGAAAAAGCTCCCCTCGGCTTATACTCGAGTCAAAGTTATTTATTCTTTTACTCTGTAATTAGTATTATTTTATTTTATTATATTTATTATTTTACTCTTATTATTATTATATTTACATTATTTTGCTCTATTATTCTATTTATTATTTTGCTCTATTATTATTATTACATTTACAGTATTTTACCCTATTATTATTTTATTATTATTATTATTATTATTATTATTACATTTACAGTATTTTACCCTATTATTATTATTTCATTTATTATTTTAATTTATTTATTTGTTTATTTATTTATTATTATTATTATTATTATTATTACATTTACAGTATTTTACCCTATTACCCTACTCATCAGCTTTGTGATGAGTTCCCTGCAAAGAAGCAAATAATGAGTTCCCTGCAAATAATAATCTATTTAGTATTATTATTATTATTACATTTTTACCCTATTATTATTATTACATTTATTATTTTAATCTATTTATGATTATTATTATTATTACATTTACAGTATTTTACCCTATTATTATTATTATTACATTTATTATTTTAATCTATTTATTATTATTATTATTACATTTACAGTATTTTACCCTATTATTATTATTACATTTATTATTTTAATCTATTTATTATTATTATTATTACATTTACAGTATTTTACCCTATTATTATTATTACATTTATTATTTTAATCTATTTATTATTTATTATTATTATTATTATTACATTTACAGTATTTTACCCTATTATTACTACATTTATTATTTTACTCTATTATTACTGTTTTTATTGCATTTTCATTATTTTACTCTATTATTTTATTATATTTATTATTTTAATAATAAGTACATTTACATTGAAGGAGGTTAGAAAAACATCTATATATATAAATCTGTAGGGGGCGTCGTACGGCGTCGCATAACTCCACAACCTCCCAACGAAACTGAACCAAAATTCCCATGCCCCTAGGGCAACCCACTCGCTACAAACTAATCTACTCCAAAGTAAAGAAAACACAACTGCAACGACGAAAACACCACAAAACAACTGAACATGCGCACTGGCGCAAACTCCCCGGCACGCGCGCACCCGCCGCCCCTCGCCCCCCCCCGGCGGCACACACGCGCGCGCGGCGGAAACTCCCCGCCACGCGCACACCCGCCGCCCCTCCCCCCCCCCGCGGCACACGCGCGCGCGTCGGAAACTCCCCGCCACGCGCGCACCCGCCGCCCCTGCCCCCCCCGCGGCACACACGCGCGCGCGGCGCAAACTCCCCGCCACGCGCGCACTTGCCGCCCCTCACCCCCCCTCCCCCGCGGCATTACCGTTGAAAGGGACAGTCCAGAAGAAATGAGAGAAGAAGGGAAAGAGAAGGAATGAAGGAGCCAAAGGGGGAAGGAAGGAGAAAAGGACATAAAATTAAAGGTAACAGAAGGAAGGAGAGAAAGACAGAGGGAGGGAGGGAGGGAAGGAAGGAAGGAAGGAAGGAAGGAAAGAGGGAACGAGGGAAAGGCCGACGGCGGGCCAGGAGGGGCCCGGCTCCGCCTCTGCCGCCTCCTCCTCGCCAGGGGGATCCAAGACAGAGAGAGTAGGAAGGAAGGAAGGAGAAGGAGGAGGAGAAGGAAGGAAGGAAAGAAGGAAAGACAGAAGACATAAAGGAAGGAAGGAAACAAAAAAGGAAGGAAGGGAAGCAGAAAGGGAAGACTGAAATGGGCCACAGCAACGCGTGGCAGGGTACAGCTAGTGGTTTAATAAGAATTGGACAGTCTTATCTTAAATTACAGCTTTATGTAAATATTCAAAAACATTTAGCCTATTGATGCTTCAATTAATGTAATTTTATTGGTATCTATTTTTATTTTGAAATTGACCCATAGTGCCTGCAATTCCCACCCTCGGCTTATACTCGAGTCAATACGTTTTCCCAGTTTTTTGTGATAAAATTAGGTGCCTTGGCTTATATTCGGGTCGGTTTATACTTGAGTATATATGGTAATACTAATAATATTAATATTGGCTTGCTTGTTGCAATGTAGATCAGTTAAAACTTCTGTAACTTTAATTATGCTGGTATTTAAAGTGGGAAATTAATATTTAATTCTTACTTTTTAATACCATTAATATTTAATTCTATTTTAATGTTTGTGTGTGTCTCTGTGTGTATGTATATATGAATGTGTGTGTGTGTATAGGCATATATAACCCAGAAACAAAAAATTGTGTTACACAGTGTAATAGGCTGACCTACTGACGTGTTGACTTATTTAGAACTGATGGATTGTCCTTGGATAATGATTTAAATCAGTGACCACTGACTATTTGTTGTCTGTATTGTCGAAGGCTTTCATGGCCAGAATCACTGGGTTGTTGTAGGTTTTTCCGGGCTATATGGCCATGTTCTAGAGGCATTTTCTCCTGACGTTTCGCCTGCATCTATGGCAAGCATCCTCAGAGGTAGTGAGGTCTGTTGGAACTAGGAAAAAGGGTTTATATATCTGTGGAATGACCAGGGTGAGACAAAGGATTCTTGTCTGCTGGAGCTAGGTGTGAATGTTTCAACTGACCACCTTGATTAGCATATAATGGCCTGACAGTGCCTGGAGCAAACTTTTGTTGAGAGGTGATTAGATGTCCTTGTTTGTTTCCTCTCTGTTGTTGTGCTGTTGTAATTTTAGAGTTTTTTTTTAATACTGGTAGCCAGATTTTGTTTATTTTCATGGTTTCCTCCTTTCTGTTGAAATGGTCCACATGCTTGTGTATTTCAATGGCTTCTCTGTGTAGTCTGGCATGGTGGTTGTGAGAGTGGTCTGTTGTCTGTTTTTATATTGTTTTATATTGTTTATATGGTTTTATACTGTTTGTACTGTTTTACATTGTTATTATTACATTGCTGTTAATTGCATATTTATGTTTTGATGTGGGCACCATGGGGTGCCACTTTGTTAGCCGTCCTGAGTCCCTCTGCGGAGGTTGAGACAGGATGGGATATAAAAGCCTGAAATAAATAAGCAAACAAATAAATAAAGATTAGGTTCTTGTGGGGTTTTTTGGGCTATAGGGCCATGTTCTAGAGGCATTTCTCCTGACGTTTCGCCTGCATCTATGGCAAGCATCCTCAGAGGTAGTGAGGTCTGTTGGAATTAGGACAATGGGTTTATATATCTGTGGAATGGCTGGGGTGGGGCAAGAAGCTCTTTCCTGCTGCAGTTAGGTGTGAATGTTTCAGCTGATCACCTTCATTAGCATTTGAAGGCCTGCCTGAGCCTGGGAAAATCTCTTGCTGGGAGGTGTTAATCTGTGCCTGGTTGTTTCCTCTCTGTTGTTTTGCTGTTGTAATTTTAGAGTTTTTTAATACTGGTAGCCAGATTTTGTTCATTTTCATGGTCTCTTCCTATCTGTTGATATTGTCCACATGCTTGTGGATTTCAATGGCTTCTCTGTGTAGTCTGACATGGTGGTTGTTGGTGTGGTCCAGCATTTCTGTGTTCTCAAATAATATGCTGTGTCCAGGTTGGTTCATCAGGTGCTCTGCTATGGCTGACTTCTCTGGTTGAAGTAGTCTGCAGTGCCTTTCATGTTCCTTGATGTGTCTGGGCAATGCTGCGTTTGGTGGTCCCTATGTAGACTTGTCCACAGCTGCATGGTATACGGTAGACTCCTGCAGAGGTGAGAGGATCCCTCTTGTCCTTTGCTGAACGTAGCATTTGTTGGATTTTCTTGGTGGGTTTGTAGATGTTTGTATGTTGTGTTTCCTCATCAGCTTCCCTATGCGGTCAGTGGTTCCCTTGATGTATGGCAAGAACACTTTTCCTCTGGGTGGATCTTCATCTTGACTCTCGTGGCTTGTTCTTGGTCTTGCAGCTCTTCTGATGTCTGAGGTGGAGTATCCATTGGCCTGGAGAGCCCAGTTGAGGTGGTTCAGTTCATCTTGGAGGAGGTGGGGTTCGCAGATTCTTTTTGCACGGTCTGCCAAGGCTTTAATGGTGCTTCTTTTTTGACTTGGGTGATGTTGGAGTTTTTATGTAGATATCTATCTGTGTGTGTGGGTTTTCTGTAAACGGTGTGACCCAATTGTTGATCTGGTTTGCGGATAATTAGGACATCTAGAAAAGGCAGTCTTCCTTCCTTTTCTTTTTCCATGGTGAACTGGAATAAATAAAGATTCTTCTTTCTCTTTGTAATGCCTACATCCCACCACAAGGTGCTGCTAGAGGACCACTCCTGACTTCCACTGGGAAGTATGCAAAGCAGCTCCATCCCACCGACCAATCACAAAAGGCGAGGCGGATTCAAATTGCAGCAACAATGCCACTGTGCACAATGCCATAAAGCCATTACATTTATGGTGGCTGAAGCCTCGTGGTCTTTTGTATTAGAGGTGCTCTAACACAATTTCTAGGTGCAAAGATTACTGCAGATGCAGACTGTAGCCAGGAAATCAGAAGACGCTTACTTCTTGGGAGGAGAGCAATGTCCAAGTCTCGATAAAATAGTAAAGAGTAGAGACATCAGACTGGCAACAAAGATCCGCCTAGTCAAAGCCATGGTATTCCCTGTAGTAACCTACGGATGTGAGAGCTGGACCTTGGGAAGGGCTGAGCAAAGGAAGATCGATGCTTTTGAGCTGTGGTGTTGGAGGAAAGTGCTGAGAGTGCCTTGGACTGCGAGAAGATCCAACCAGTCCATCCTCCAGGAAATAAAGCCCGACTGCTCACTGGAGGGAAGGATACTAGAGACAAAGCTGAAGTACTTTGGCCACATCATGAGGAGACAGGAAAGCCTAGAGAAGACAATTATGCTGGGGAAAGTGGAAGGCAAAAGGAAGAGGGGCCGACCAAGGGCAAGATGGATGGATGGCATCCTTGAAGTGACTGGACTGACCTTGAGGGAGCTGGGGATGGTAACGGCCGACAGGGAGCTCTGGCGTGGGCTGGTCCATGAGGTCACGAAGAGTCGGAGACGACTGAACGAATGAACAACAACAACAACACAATTTATTTATTTATTTATTTACGGCATTTATATGCCACCCTTCTCGCCCCGAAGGAGACAGAGCGGCTTACAATATATATTTTCATACAATATATTATATTATTAGATCAACGTATAGCTTGCAAACTTTGTGTTTTGTCTGTTTGTTTGTGTGTTTTGTTAAAAATGTAATACAAATGTCTGGTTGCTCCTAACGCAATAAATATAAAATAAATATATAAATAGTACAATACCAGTATTATATATTACTAAATTGCACTATACCATTATATTGTAATATATTACTAATAATATTACAATATAATGGTATAGTGCATTACATGTAATGTAAATATATATGTTCTGAATGTGGGCATGGCAGCAACAAAGGGCCAGAGAAGCAGATGGCGGAAACAGAAGAATGGCCTACCTCAGGGGAGCGTGCTTGCTCCATCCATGTTCAACATTACACAAATGACCAGCCACTGCCAGAAGGGACAGAGAGCTTCATCTATGCTGATGATCGTGCCATCACTGCTTAAGCAGGGAGCTTTGAGATGGTTGAACAGAAGCTCTCCGAAGCTCTAGGTGCTCTTACTGCCTATTACAGGGAAAACCAGCTGATCCCTAACCCATCTAAAACACAGACATGTGCCTTTCATCTCAAGAACAGAGAAGCATCCCGAGCTCTGAAGATCACCTGGGAAGGAATCCCACTGGAGCATTGCAGCGCACCCAAATACCTGGGAGTCACTCTGGACCGCGCTCTTACCTACAAGAAGCACTGCCTGAACATCAAGCAAAAAGTGGGTGCTAGAAACAATATCATACGAAAGCTGACTGGCACAACCTGGGGATCACAACCAGACACAGTGAAGACATCTGCCCTTGCGCTATGCTACTCTGCTGCTGAGTATGCATGCCCAGTGTGGAACACATCTCACCACACTAAAACAGTGGATGTGGCTCTTAATGAGACATGCCGCATTATCACGGGGTGTCTGCGCCCTACCCCACTGGAGAAATTACACTGCTTAGCCGGTATTGCACCACCTGACATCCGCCGGGAAGTAGCAGCCAATAGTGAAAGGACCAAGGCAGAGACATCTCCAGCTCATCCCTGTTTGGGTATCAGCCAGCACGTCAACGACTTAAATCTAGACATAGTTTTCTAAGATCTACAGAGACACTCGCTGGAACACCTCAGCAAGCGAGAGTCCAAAAGTGGCAGGCTCAAACCCAAATGGCTGATACCAAATGAGAGACTCCCCCTGGGCACACAGAAGACTGGGCGACTTGGAAGGCGCTGAACAGACTGCGCTCTGGCACCACGAGATGCAGAGCCAACCTTCAGAAATGGGGCCACAAAGTGGAATCCTCGACATGCGAGTGCAGAGAGGAGCAAACCACTGACCACCTGCTGCAATGCAACCTGAGCCCTGCCACATGCACAATGGAGGACCTTCTTGCAGCAACACCGGAAGCACTCCAAGTGGCCAGATACTGGTCAAAGGATATTTAACCAGCTACCAAACTCACAAGTTGTGTATTTTTTCTGTTTGTTTGCTTTGTTCTGTTGGAAATGTGATATAATGGACAGGCTGCTCTGACACGACAAATAAATAAGCAACAAAGGGGTGGAAGTCCCGGCATCCATATGCAATCCTATGGTTCGGTTGTCTCTGTTGAATATCCTGCTGCCCTGATTGTGGCAACAGCAAAGAATGTTGTTGCTTTTCCATAACAACAACAACACTATGTAACATGAGGCATAGGTAATAAATGACATTTCCTTATTGGTTCTATACTTAAATAATAATAATAATAATAATAATAATAATAATAATTGTATATAGGACAATTAAATAATAAATAATCAAATTATTATAATAAATAATCAAATCATAGATGCAGGCGAAATGTCAGGAGGGAATGCCTCTAGAACATGGCCATATAGCCCGAAAAAACCTACAATGACCCAATCAAATTATATCTAATAATAATAAATATTATAATAAATAATAATTATATAATAATTATAAATAATAAAATAAATAATAATACAAATAATAAATAATAAAATTCTAAAATAAAAAATAAATTAAATTAATAAAATTCTAAAACAGCAATAAAATTATTATTATTTTATTAATTATTTAAATATTATAGAATCTATTATCCTCATTTTATGAGATTTAAATTATAAATAATAAAATTACATTTCATAATCATAAATACAATATTATAATAAATAATAAACAACAATACAAATAATAAAAAATAAAGTTCTAAAATAAAAAAATAAATTAAATTAATAAAATTCTAAAACAGTAATAAAATTATTATTTTATTAATTACTTAAATATTATAGAATCTATTATCCTGATTCTATGATATTTAAATTATAAATAATAAAATTGCATTTAATAATAATAAACACAATATTGTAATAAATAATTATATAATAATTATTAATATGCATAATATAGTAAATAATAATACAATTAATAAATTAGAAAATTATAAATATAGAATCTATTATCCTGATTCTATGATATTTAAATTATAAATAATAAAGTTACATTGCATAATAATAAATAAAATATTATAATACATAATTATATAATAATTATTAATATGCATAATATAGTAAATAATAACACAATTAATAAATTAGAAAATTATAAATAAATTTATAAAATAATAATAAAATCTATGAATCTGATTCTATGATATTTAAATAATTTTTTTTAGTCGTGTCAGGAGCGACTTGAGAAACTGCAAGTCGCTTCTGGTGTGAGAGAATTGGCCGTCTGCAAGGACGTTGCCCAGGGGACGCCCGGATGATTTGATGTTTTTATCATCCTTGTGGGAGGCTTCTCTCATGTCCCCGCATGAGGAGCTGGAGCTGATAGAGGGAGCTCATCTGCCTCTCCCTGGATTCGAATCTGCGACCTGTCGGTCTTCAGTCCTGCCGGCACAGGGGTTTAACCCACTGCGCCACCGGGGGCTCCTATAATAATAATAATAATAATAATAATAATAATAATAATAATAAATTATATTATTACATTATATAATAAAATAATAATAAAATACAATAATAAAATAATAAAAAATTATTTTTGTTGTTATTATTATTATTGCATCCAAATCATAACCCCTGCCATACTCTCTACATTCCCAATACTGAATATTCGATATCATGAAGACAACTCAAGGAAATTGCTCCTGCCCATCTCACTTTCTCCGACTGGACAAGGTTTCCTCCTGGTTTATAGGGTTCGCCTTCACGGTCTGTTTGTCAGCGACGCTGTCTTCAGGATCCCAAGCGGAGCGGTGCTGCCTCTGCTTGGAATGGCCGCATAATTTGCTGACCTGTAAAGGGAAACAGATGAGAAAACTAGAACTTCCAACAAGGGCAGGCAGCAGCTCCAGAGTCCGTTCCGGGCTTTAGTGTGAACTTTCAATTGACTTTAAGCCAGAGCGGTTAAAGTGGTGTCAAACTACATACCTTCTACAGCAGGTGCCGGTAGGAATTGTGGGAGCTGGAGTCCAAAACACCTGAAGGGCCCAAGTTTGCCCATGCCTGCTTTACACACAATATACCTAGCATTAAAAACAATCCCCCTGAGATGAAGAATTAGACTACTAATTCTTATTACAGTTGGAGATGTTTAGCCTAGAATGATAGAATCATAGAGTCGGAAGGGAACCCCAAAGGCTATCTAGTCCATCCCATTCTTCCAGGCAGAAAGTCACCATCAAACCCTCCCGACAGATGGCCATCCAACCTCTGTGTAAAGACAAGAGAAGGAGACATGCATTCTTCCTTTTGATATGGCAATGAACAAAATCCACAGTGGATTTATTACACCATCGACTTGGATCCCACCAAGTTTTATGGCCTGCAATAGCTCTGTAGCTCGGGATATTGTCTTTCCATTGTTCACAATGCAAGCTGCAATCTCTCCATGATTAAAGGGGGAGTCAACATCATCCTATTATCTCCCCCGCAGGGAAAATAAATTGCCAATTGCTTAGCAAGTCTTCCTCCCGGCTTGCCTGTCCCAAAAAGGATCCTAAAAGAAACCACACGACAAATCCCCTTTGCTTTGGGGCAAAACATTGTGTAAAATATGTATACGAAAACGTATTTCTAGGAAATACAACCATTACAAGACGCAGGACAAAGATGAAACTACAGGGAACATGGAACATGAGTTTAAAATTTAACAACAATAGTCCTAGACACTTAGGAAGTGCCCGACGTGTGATCCAATACAACAGCTAGCATAGTGATCTTGCTTGCTGTGTATCAAATAAATAATGATGATGATGATGATGATGATGATGATTCTGGAGAACTGCAAAAGCCAAAAAACTAATCTTCACATGATGTTGATTGACTACAAAAAAAAGTCTTTGTCCCACTCCCACACAGTTTGATCATCAAGTGTCTAAACAGTATCGGGATTTGTAAAAACGTTGGCACTTTTATTGAAAATATGATGAAACCCTGGAAAACTGAACAGTTTGTTTGTTGGAAATTAAAACTATGAACTTGTCAACATCAGGAGAGGAATTTTCCAGGGAAACTCGTTGTCCCCACTGCTTTTCTTCATTGCTATGATCCCTCTGTCAACAATCTTACAAAAAACACACCTCGGCTACAGAGGCGGCCCTAGGTAATTTTCAACGGTAAGCAAACAGTATTTTGGCGCTCCCCCCCCCCCCAACCAATCATTGATATATATTTTCTGTTCGTCATGGGAGTTCTGTGTGCCATATTTGGTTCAATTCCATCATTGGTGGAGTTCAGAATGCTCTTTGATTGTAGGTGAACTATACATCCCAGTAACTACACTTGCCGCACTTGCTCCCTTGCATGGCCCGCTTTGGGTCCGGAGGCGTGCCTGAAGACCCCGGCGTGTGCACCAAAAGTCACCTCTTCTCCTGACTTTCTCCTCAGCCATTGGGACCAAGAGAGAGAGAGAGAGAGAGAGACAGAGGTGGAGATGCCCACCTTTCCTGAAGGTAGGCGCAAAAACAAAGGAGGGAGTGGAGGTGGGAGATACCTCCAGCCGGAGGGGCTCTCTCTCTCTCTCTCTCTTGGTCCCAATGGCTGAAGAGAAAGTCAGGAGAAGAGGCGACTTTTGGTGCGCACGCTGGGGTCTTCAGACACGCCTCCGGACCCAAAGAGGGCCAGGCGTTGCGGCCCCTTGGCCCACCCGCGGATTGGGGAGAGGAGAGGAGGCAGGTGGAGCGCCGGGGGATCGGGAAAGGGAGCCGGTCATGGGGAAGGGATCTAACGCGGAGAACGATTGAGCGCCGGCTCTGCTCATGCACCTGGTGGCCGGGTGGAGCAGGAATGAGAGGGGCTAGGCGAGGCTCAAGGGCCCGGCCCCTTTGGGAAGAGGATCGCCCGGCAGCGAGGCAAGAAAGCCGAGGCTCCCCCCGGACTGCGAGGGCTGTTGTGAGCTGAGGGGGCGCTCCTCAAGTGGCGGTCGAGGGGCATTTACAGAGGCGCCTCTGCGCCCCTGGCAAAAAAAAGTGTTCTGCAACCGCTTACTTCGCGTAATGGACGAGCCGCCCCTGGCTATCAAACGTCTAAGAAATCTCACAAAATTTCACATCTGCTGTACATGGACGACCTGAAGCTGTATGGGGAAACCGAAACTGAAATCCAGTCTCTGACTAACATTGTCCAAATCTTTAGCACTGATATCAACATGGAGTTTGGTTTGGACAAATGTTCAACAGTGGCACTGAAGAAGGGAAAAATCATTGAAAGTGAGGGCATAAATATGCCCAATGGTCAAGCGATAAAGTGTGGCATCATAAACTGAACGCAGGCAGAAGTGGACAATTTAGACAAAAAAACAAGAAAATTTATGATCATTCATAATTCACTGCATCCTTGCAGAGATGTTGACCGGCTCTATCAGCCTAGAAGGCCTCTGTTTAAAAGCTTCCAAAGAGGGAGCCTCCACCACACTTCGAGGCAGAGAGTTCCACTGCTGAATGGCTCTCACAGTCAGGAAGTTCTTCCTCATGTTCAGATGGAATCTCCTTTCTTGTAGTTTGAAGCCATTGTTCCGCATCCTAGTCTCCAGGGAAGCAGAAAACAAGCTTGCTCCCTCCTCCCTGTGGCTTCCTCTCACATATTTATACATGGCTATCATATCTCCTCTCAGCCTTCTCTTCTTCAGGCTAAACATGCCCAGCTCCTTAAGCCGCTCCTCATAGGGCTTGTTCTCCAGACCCTTGATCATTTTAGTCGCCCTCCTCTGGACACATTCCGGCTTGTCAATATCTCTCTTCAATTGTGGTGCCCAGAATTGGACACAATATTCCAGGTGTGGTCTAACCAAGGCAGAATAGAGGGGTAGCATTACTTCCCTAGATCCAGACACTATGCTCCTATTGATGCAGGCCAAAATCCCATTGGCCTGCATCACATTATTGTCTCATGTTTAACTTGTTGTCCACAAGGACTCCAAGATCTTTTTCACACGTACGGCTCTCAAGCCAGGTGTCTCCCATTCTGTATCTTTGCATTTTGTTTTTCCTGCCTAAGTGGAGTATCTTGCATTTGTCCCTGTTGAACTTCATTTTGTTAGTTTTGGCTCGTCTCTCTAATCTGTCAAGATCGTTTTGAATCCTGCTCCTGTTCTCTGGAGTATTGGCTATCCCTCAGATGGCCATCTGTCAAGGGTGCTTTGAATGCAATCAGTACAGGAAGACTGCACTCCAAACCAGAGCTGACAGCTGGCACAACAAAGCCTTGCATGGGCAATTCCTTGACAAAATTGAAGGGAAAGTTGATAAGGAGAAGGCCTGGTTCTCTGCTCATGAATGGAACCCTGAAGAAGGAGACAGAAGAAGGCCTGATTCTTGCAGCCCAGGAGCAAGCCATCAGAACCAATGCCATTAAGGCCAGGATTGAAAAATCAGCTGATGACACAAAATGCAGACTGTGCAAGGAAGCTGTTGAAACCATGGACCATCTCCTCAGCTGTTGCAAGAAAATTGCAAAGATGGACTACAAACAGAGGCACAACTCTGTGGCCCAAATGATTCACTGGAACTTATGTCACAAATACCACCTGCCAGCAGTAAAAAATTGGTGGGATCATAAACTTGCAAAGGGAGGAGAAAATGAATATGCAAAAATACTGTGGGACTTTCAAATCTAGACCGACAAAGTTTTGGAACACAACATGCCATACATCACAATTGTGGAAAAGAAAATGTTTGGATTATTGATGTCACCAAACGAGGTGACAGTCACATTTAGGAAAAACCCGGCCGTTATCAGGACCTCAAAACTGAACTGCAAAGGCTCTGGCATAAACCAGTACAGGTGGTCCCAGTGGTCATTGGCGCACTGGGTGCCGTGCCAAAAGATCTCAGCCGGCATTTGGAAACAATAAACATTGACAAAATCATGATCTGTCAACTGCAAAAGGCCACCTGACTTGGATCTGCGCACATCATTCGAAAATACATCACACAGTCCTAGACGCTTGGGAAGTGTTCGACTTGTGATTTTGTGATACGAAATCCAGCATAGAGAAAGCCACAATTTGTCCTGATCTGTTCTCTCAGTTAGCTTCCATCCACCAAAACTACAGCCAGGATTACCCCATTGTCTCCATATCTCAGTTCAAGAAAAAAACGGATCCTGGCCACCTCGCCAGACATCAATGTTTATTGCCACCCATCAAAGACAATAGGCTGGCTGGCTAGAAGGCCCCCTGAGGACTCGCCGACCACATGGACACCACATATTTCCATAATCCACTCCAGTTCTCATTGTTTCCCTCTCATCCCGCCTCCTTCTCTCCTGATTGGCCAGGACGCCGAAGTGGCGTGAGCTCACCCATTGGTTAAGGAGCTCAGGAGGCGGCCAAGCCTCCTCCCAGCTGTAGAGCGCCAACCAATTAGACAGCTCTGTATATGTATAAAAAGGCTTTATTTTGTACTAGCTGTCCCCTGCCACGCGTTGCTGTGGCCCAGTCTGTTGATCTAGAAAATAAAGAAATGAGAAAGTGTTTTTCTAATATATGTAATTTCTTTATGCTTGTGGGTAAACAGGATTTCTTGCTGTTTCTTTGTCAGTGTTGATGTGGAGAGTGTCTGGTTTGCCTACTCTGGAACATGCAACATATCACTGTCCTTCTTTAGGGGTCCCTTTCAAATCTATGATACTATATCTGTGTGTGTGTGAATCATATCTATCTATATGTATGGCTGGATGGCTCTTTGTCAGGAGGGATTTGATTACGTTTTCTTGCCCTGGTGAAGGGAGTTGGACTGGATGGCCTTGAGTATTTTCTGTTGGTTATGTGAGTTCTGTGTGGGAAGTTTGCCCC